CTTTGTAGCACACAAAGCAAGAGAAGAAAGTAGAAGAAATGCATAATATAAACAGTAAACAGAGGTGTGAGACAAAGGTATAGTAATAACGGAGAACAATATAGTTTCATTTGAAATCATAAGTCACAAGGAGTGGATGCATATGCGCCGGCCATTGAGAACGATTTTCACCCATGTCACCAATTGTTTCCAACCATTGGTTTTTACAGTCCCGAGGACCCCAACCAGTTAGGAAGTTTACACCTTCCTACGTGGCTTAGACTAACTGTTGTGGATTTCATTGACTGGTGCCCACCTTATTATACCACTTCATGCGGGAGATAGAACAAGGGCACCTATGATCAAAGACAGCTAGCTGGTCTTCTAATGTCCTCCACTCTCAATGGCCAGGTCTCACAGCCATAAAGGAGGATGGAGCGGACTGATGAGTAGTACACACGCCCTTTGGTCGATAGTTGGATATCACGTCTACGCCAGAGACGGCGTACACTGCCATATGCGATACTAGCCCTCTGTGTTCGTGCTGAGATTTCGTCAGAGATCAACCCGTTGGCACTGGCTGATGGTACTTCCCAAGTAAGTGAAGTGGTCAACGTGCTCTACCACTTCACTTCCTATTTCTAATCTAGGGGTCGGTGTAGTCCAATCCTGTAACATCATCTTGCATTTGACGGGAGCGAATCGCATGCCAAAAATTCGTAGATTGCAGCTCAAGGTGTAAGATACTGAAAGCTTTGCTATCCAGTCATATAGTGTTTCCCCGAATTCTTGAAAGTCTAAATCCTTTAGGAACAACTACACCCAGATTGTTTAAGCTACCTAAAATTCATGAGCCGATGAGATCAATATTAGAGATTTACAACTCAACATATCATGAAACAGATAGATGGCAGGCAGAAAAGCGTAAACTTCTGCAGCTAAAAGTGAGGTCTAATGGAGACTTATGAATTTCTACGAAAGATGAGAGATAAGAAGACTAAAAATGAAACAGTGACCTATATGGATGTCACTTCCTGTTTATTTACGTCCTTTTATTGGAGACTATCGACTTCATCCGTGAATCTCTGATAGAAAATCAAATAGAAGTAGGTATACCACCTGAAACATTATGGGGACTGCCATTCGGTTGTACGATGAATGTGTAATTTCAGTTCAACAACGAAAAATATATCGTCAGATGGAGGGCGGAGCAATGCACTCCCCCCTCCTGCTGATGTTTGTGGAAAAATTAGAGAATCATCCAGTGAAAGATGTAATCAACTAGGTCTCATTGATACCGAGGTTCTTCTGAAAACGTTCAATTTGGTTCACCCACAAACTGAGTGTAGGGGACTCTCTAGAGCAAGCTCATTAACATAACAAAATATGCGAATAAAAATCCAAGTCAATGAGAGTACAATGCAACAATATATTATCAAAATGCAGTAATGAGTGATATTAATTAATAGGTTACTTGGATACGTTGTTAAAGTCCACTGCTACAAATTATTTATAAAATCCACAGAAGCGTTGACTGTTGGAATCGTGTCTACTGGTATAAGCGGTTGTAGAGTTGTCTTCGGATAAGGATAATAGGTTCCTGCAATAATCCAAAGTATACAACACGGTTTGAGTGGAGCGAGTAGACAGAAATGACCAAAGAGAAGGCGAATGTACCAACAGTATAGTGCATTTCAAATTGCACTCGGAAGTTATATCTATTTAAACATAAATCGTTTTAAACAAAAGTCATGTACAATGTTTATAATTTCAACATCTAACCAAAAAGTGTACAGTCATATGGTTACGTACTCCACATGAGTTCACATACGAAATAGAGAAAGATAATGCTTAATCATTGCTTGATGTGCTGCTAACAAGAAAGCAAGATAGAGGTAGTAAGTGAGGTATTTTCAGGGAAAATCATGGGTCGGTTAATATACGCATTTCAGTTCGTTTGCGCCTCTTGCATACAAACGAAATCTCATCAACACCTTGGTGTTTCATGCTAGAAAAATCGCTACAACAGATACTTTTGACCATGAAATAAGGAGAGTAGAACAAATGTCCAGAGAAAATTGTTAAAGTTTGTAAGATGAGAACAGATAAAGAGAAATGCCTTCAAATTATGCAAAGGGAATGCATGTTTATGACTTTACATGGCGAAAAAGACACAGCCACTGAACTACTGACAGAGAAAATCCAAAAAATAGTAGCTGAAACATTTTCTGCCACAACACTCTGTTTATAATTCACAACTCATCGTATAATTCCAATGTCGGTGAAGGATAAGCTACCGAATCTGGTCACTTCGGTATGCATTCATAAATTTAACTGTTTTTGTGGAGAGAATTCATTGGTAGAACAATTCGGAAAGCCCACCGTTGCCCTCTCGAACACTCTCCAACGTGGTTAGGTGATTATTAATATTGTTCCCTTGAGTTCCTAGTGGAACATAGGGCTTCAACTGCACGCCTCCACTTGCTTCTGTCTTCTGCTCTACTTTTCACCTGCATCCATGTTAGTCCTTTACACACGATCTCCTCCCAGTCACCCTTGGACGTCCCACTCGCTGCTTCCCTTTCGGGTTACACTCGAGCGATGGCCTGACGCGCGATGTCACCCGGCGGTCTCCTCAGTGAGTGTCCAATCCATCTCCACTTTCTCCTGCATATTTGTTGAGCGATCGGTTCTTGCTTTGTTTGTTCCCATAGTTTCTTGTTGGTGATTCTTTCCGGCCATCTGATCTTGAGTATAGTACGAAGACAGTTGTTGATACATGTCTGCAACAGGCTGTTGGAAATATTCTTTATGACCCACTGGCCAAGTTTCTGATCTGTATAGAAGAACTGACTGACTTGACGTTTGTATTGAAAATCCGAATTTTGTTGTTGATGCTGAGTTGAGTGACGAAGATTTGCAGATTGGTTTCAGGTTGATGAATGTGTTTCTCGCCTTCCCGATTCTCGATTTGACATCCTCGTCCGTTCCTCGTATAGTTGATACAATGCTCCGTTGATAAGTGAATGAAGTAACCTCTTTCAAATCCCTCCCGTTGATGATGATTGGTGCTGGATGTTGCTGCTGTTGTTGTTGTTGGTTGGTTTCTTTTTATAACCTTCATCTTGTCTATTTTCACCTGGAGTCCTGTCTTTGCTGTTTCTTCGACCAGTTTGTCGGTTTTTGCTTGTAAGTCTTCGATTTTGTGTGACATCAAACATAAATCATCCACGCACGAAATCCAGGTCTTCTAGGTTCTTCACGTTGGTTAGGTGAAGAAGTTGAAAAATCAGTAAGGAGTACCATGTTGACGTATCGTGTGGATACGGATTACAAGACCGATCACAATACAGGCTTTACAGTTCATTACAAGGTGACACCTCAATTCCCTAAGTTTGTACACTTCCATTTGCTAAGCACAGCTAAGACGGTTGCTACAAGAGGCATTAAGCCCAGTGTCTGTGTTCAGAAAAAGTCTGTACAACCCCACTTCCTCCAACGGCATTGAAACGCAACCTAGAGTAGTTATCTCTCCCGGTGACACGGGATAGCTCTAAATGTTATTTTTATTTGTACTGTTAACTCTGTTGTCAATATTCTATAGCTGCATGTTTTAATCTTAGTTTTACAATCTGTCATTATCCTACTTCAGTTCTATTTGCATTTGATTCTACTATTCCACATTGTCCCAAATTTCTAAAACGACGGTTGCAGTGAAGAAAATTTTTTTTCCGATGAAGTCATCAACTAGGCTGTACATTCGTGTATTTATAATAAATGGGTGAGAAAGTTCCAAAATAATTTCCGGTCAAAGGTCAAATTAATAAAATTACAATTAGGAATTAAAATGCCATAATAAACAGGGGGACGGAATAGAAACTCAAACAAAGTAGCATCATAATTACTGAGATGATTGACATATTGTGCAACTAGGGGTTAGAAATGTAGAAATAACAAAATAGACAAGATGGTTGGATAAAAATATCTAGTGGGATCATAACTAATGTGACAAATAATTATTTATGCAATCAGGGATCAAATATGTAGAAATAATAAAATGACAAAATAGACAGGAAGTTTGGATATGAAAATATGGTTGTGTAAATAGGGATTAAGAAAAACTTAAAAATAACGTTAATAAACAGGAAGTTCGGATAAGAAAGGCAATGGGATGGTCATTACTCAAAGAATTACCTGTTGATGATGGCCATGTCAGGAACAAGGGTTGAATGTTTTTTCTTTTGGACACAGCGTGGGTTTGAGCCTCTGGATAGCTAGTGCCTTGGCTATGCCCAGATGTCTTAACTTTACTCCCTTTGATAGGTTTGATCGAATCACGTATATTATTTTGAAGGATTTTTTGAATGGTGCTGAATGTCCTGAATTAACCAGATGTTGTACCGCTCAACTATATACACGTTTTCGTTCTCCTTTTACTAGCCAGGCTGCATAGTGTTCACGAGAGCGTTTTCCAAGTTGGCGCATGCTACTGCTGATGCAGTCAGCTCTGCACGTTGAAGTGGCCCAGTTCGACAGATTGTGTTTCGTTTTCTGGCTGAACAGTTTCTTGCAAGAAAACATCAGTCGTAGGCTCACGGCGAAGTATGTTTTCCTCAGGAATTTGCAGAGGCGTTTATGAAGGATTTCTAATTCAATGTCACCTCTGAATTCTAGATTAAGCAGATGTGTCCTCAAATTTCTTTGTCTAATATTTTATTACGCATCTTTAAGCCTCAATGAGAACTAACCGAAAATACATATCTGCTCGCTTAAGTCATCTTCTATATTTGCCTTTTCTTTTGAGTAGTTCTAATCATACATGTCTCCGCATCAGTTCTAATTGTAGTAGCACAAATGTTAGTGCGAAATAACAGAACGTTTGTAAACTAACAAACAGCCAGCATCCGATGTGTTTAAACCGACTCACCTGATAGTATTTGATGCTAGAGAGAGGCCTATACAAGCGATCAATCAAAATCCTGTTTAAATTAGACTTGTGATCACATGACACTTTAAGTCTCATGTTCGACATACTAGCAGACACTGAGAATAATTCAGTGCATTATGATCAGTATAATCATGTACCAAAGCTAAAATTACTAGCAGTGCCGTATAACAGTCAAGCTGAGCGCGATGGCATTATATATACGCAAAGTGACCTATTTCATCAAATAAAATCTTTCAATGTACAATTCTACCATTTACAAAGCTTCGAAAATGCACATATTGAACCCACTGAAAATAAATGTACAACAGTCAACGCAAGCTCAGCTTTCACAGATAATAATAGTAATAATCAGGAAACTAACTCACTAGCCATAATCAGTGAGCAGAGGAAGCTTTTATTCACAATACCAGTCACAATTAATTTCAATAAAAATTTAAACAATGTCTGTGAAAGTATCATAGAGGAAGGCTGTGATGAGTGTTCAGAAATCCGGCCGAATAAATTATTTTATATGCTGACAAAACTAAGCGGGCTATCAAATAGTCTTGGCAGTACAAATTCACTATCAGTAAATATACAGATACACGACAATGTCAGTAAGACAAATCAGGTGTTCAGTGTTATGCGTCACTATCAGTTATATAGAGAAGTGCAAAAGGCTTTACACTTATTGCAGGAATTTTCAGGTAAAACAAAAGATTGTTATTATCAGTAATTACTGTTACTTTTTTATTAGTACCAGTGGAACGCATGTTGTATAGATTGTGGACTAAAAAGAGAGTGCCAGAGAGATTTATTCCTCACTATTTTATTGATTCCCTGTGCAACACTGTCATTTTACTAGCAATCTAAAAGAGGATACACTGGAAAACTAATGTGTCGGCTGTTAGGACACTCACTTACCATGCACATGGTCCGTGGTTCAATCCCCGGTCAACGCACAGCTGATCTCACTGGTAGGCATGCTAAATTTGGGCAACGGATACCACGGATGCTGAAAATTCCACAGCTGTAGCATAAATACTAAGTGGAGTCAAGGTATAAGAAAAAAGAAATCTCCATTATGGATAAGATTTTATTTTTGATAAATCACATAGCGTTATACAGTAATATTAACTGACGAGCACGTTTTGAGCACAAACTATTGCCACTCATAACAAGGCACTACTCACACAACTTTCTTGCTTCATTTATATACATGTGTGGAATTGACTAGATATTGGATAATGTACATTCGGAAATAATAATATTAGCGTTTTCAGTCAAATATAATCAGATGGGAAATAAGACGAGTGTTTTAATAATCATAATAACTAACTTGTTAGAACGTTATGATGTACTTGAATTGAAATAGAATTTTAAGATTATATATTATCCTCGTCTGATTTGACTGACTGGTGGTAATAATATCTTCCATACATATCTCTGGTATTTGCATTGAGTCATTTCTGTGGCATGTGTTGGGTGTAGACTCGATAAACCTGGCAGGATTCAGTAATCAACGTTTCTCCATCTCCATCTACATAGATTACTTCTTAGAATCTTAACTTTCTCCCAGCCTATTGTGTGGTTGTGTGTTAATGCGTGAAGTGCAATGTAGTGGTGGGTTTTTTTCTAAATTACTCATCTTCTCGGGGTCAACCATTCTTACCTTAGCTAAATTCTTATGTTCTGCCAATCTCACTACTCCTGATCTACTAGTTTGACTGACCTATGTAGTTGACTTAACTCACAGTCATTACAGGGTATTTTGTAAATTATATTATTTTGTCTAATTGGGTCCACCGACAGGGTCCTTTAACCTACAGAGCTTCTCCTACCTGAGTGAGTTTGTATGTTTGAATGCCACCCTAATTTCTGCTTTATTCAGAATCTTACGTAGAGTTTCAGATTTCCCCTCCTCCCTTACATGCTATAACTGCAGATTCCTTATATACTGTCTTATTCCTGTTATCATTATTAGTTTCCCCATTATTTTTATTTTGCTTTTGACCTTTTCCGATCTTCCTAATGAATCTAAATGATGAAATAAAACAGATAGGAGGGGTGTTGGTGTTAAATAACTAACTATCCTATAAAATTCATTAGGAAGATCAGAAAATATCAAAAGCAAAACTCAAATAAGGAATCCAAGATGCGCATTTCGTCCTATTTGGGACTTGTCATCTGGTCGTCCTTGCATTCCCCAGGGAGTGATGATGTTCCCATCGAGGCTCGAACCCAGTGCCCGTAGTTTCAAACTCCACAGAGTTATCCACTAGACCGCTTGGGCTACGAGAGCCACCTCTTGTGCAACGGGTCATATTAATTATTTAACTGAATTTTAGATTTTTCTGTCGATTGATTGGACCGAAGTTCTCGGTCTCAGGTTGACATGTTGGCTTCTTGTGCAGATGCTTCGACGATGTCTGGGTATGTGATTAGAATTTAGTTGGTGGATGGTGACTTCGAAATCCTTTCAAAGCGATTAAGAAAGAACAGAAGAATCACATGCAGTTTCTATTACTACTTTGGTCTACTTTGGTGCTATGGGATTCTAAAATCCAATTTACAATTTACTTAAGACTATTAAGCTAAATGTTACACCTACATATGTATATCCAACTGCATATGGACTAAGACTTGTACACTATTCTGAACACCATTCATCTCTGTTTTCCTCAGTAATGATCAGAGTGGTCATTCGCAAAGAAAGGAACCTCTGAAATACTTCATTTTAACCGTCTACTGTGATACCACAAGCGCTAACTTTGGATTGATTCTTAAGGATAATTTCAATTTCAGGCGTCTTCGCTGTCAGGAAAGACTGTCTAACTGTTAGCTGATGCAATGATCCGTTGTGACAAGAGGCGTTTACATAGCCGATAGGCAATTATAATGTTCATAAACTAATTTTTTGAAACCAATATTGCTGCATGATGATAGGACCAGATGAGGAAGTTATCGGAAAAAATGTCCTGACATCCGTTCAGGACGTTGTTATTATAATTTAGCCAGCTACATTGGGCGTACAATTAGACTGGTTTACACGCGTATTTCCAAACATCATCCGGCATGGTTAAGCAAGGGCAAAAAGATGATCCATTGATAGCTCTACTTTAGCACACCTTGTAGACAGTGAGCATAAAGTCGATGTTAGTACAGCATTTAAAATTATCTATCGCATTTATTTGCTAATCTTAATTTCGCTTCTCGAGTTCATCTTCTACATACAGTTTAACCCATAGGAATCCACTTGAAGAAGTCAAACCCGTGTGTTCAGAAAAAAATTTGTACAGCGACTTTCCATACTTTTGCCATTGTTATATGAATGTATAGACTGGACTACTTCACCCCTGAACCTTTAAAAGTATAATTGTGCAAATTATTTTTATTCTTTTTCTAAGTAATTCGTATTTAATTACATGTTATCATTGTTGAAGTAATTTCTAACCTTTAGTTGTTTGAATTATCTAAAACATGGTTATTATCAAACCCCGTGACATGTCGATATTGATTAATTATTGTTAACAAACATATCAGTGCTACTTGAATGGTAAATTTGCAATTAATAGTGTTCTCTCAGCTGGTTGGTTTAGTTGCGGAGCTTTCATCGTCCTTCTGCACATCTTCAGCGCAATATTTAGCATAAAGTGAAATGATTTAAATTTTTAATGAGTGATATAGTTGCGTCTCCCGGTAACCATCTTTACATATGCATTGACCATTTTCTATTGACTTGGATTTTAAACTTTCTGGTCACCTGTTAATATATGTGTAAAACTTAAGTACTGTGGTAGTAAGTAATTCCATATTTGTTTGTTTATTGGATATATCACACAGTGAAACAGTACTATTTACTGGATGACGTTTCGAACACAATTTAATATTGTTCATAATCATATCAATTGTAATCACACGACTTTGAAACTTTAGAAAAAACTCATTGATATGAAGGAATATATATCGAGTCTTTTCACGGCTGATTTGTGTTGTTGGATTCTAATTCGAAGGGGACGCCCACTTTGGCCGATATAATGCTTGTTGCAGTTCATACAGTTCATTTTGTAAATGGTATTAATTTTATCTCCTTTTTCTGTTGGATCTTTCAGTTTGCATAATATCGAATTAAGCGATTTGACTGGCTTGTGTGCTATATCTATATCAAACGGTTTCAATATTCTAGCTGTTGTTTCCGAGATATTTTTCATGTATGGTTTAATGAATTTTCTTGTGGTCTTTGATGATGGTTCTTTGTTGGTGCTTTGATTCGACTATAGGCACTTTTTGATGAAATTTTGTGGACAACCATTCTTTTTGAAGACCGTTTTTAGGTATTTTTCTTCCATTCTTTTCAATGTGTTTGAACTCTTTTAAACAATGTCTGCACACAGTTTCTTTGGCAGGCGATTGGGTTATTGCTACTACAGTTGAGTATTTGATTCGTGTGCGTTGATTTTCTATATATTTGTGTTTCTAAATCTCCTGTGTTGGTTCTCCTGATTCAGACATCTAAAAATGGGATTTTGTTATCTCATTCTTCTTTTCCTATGGTGAATTTGATGTCTTCAAATATGTTGTTTATTAATTTATGGGTATATTCTAAATCATCTCTCTTAATTATTACAAATGTTTCATCAACGTAACGTATCCAAATTTTCTGCTTAATTATAGGTAGAGCTATTAATTCTAATCTTTGCATAACGGCTTCAGCCATTAGTCCTGATATGGGCGATCCCATTGGTGATTGGTAAATTGTTGTGTATTGTGACAAAGATACTATACAGAATATATCAGAGTAGAGCCAAAGTTGAGGATCTAATTGAAAAGTAAATATTTCTTCGCTGCTCAATCCTTTAGTTTTCTAAATTACATAGGTGCGAACTGTCTCCTACACACGTTCAGCATATTAACCAAAGCCAGTCAGTCACAGACAAGATAACCACAGGGATTGACTGAAGCAAAATGTATCCCCTAGTAAAGACACAGGTTCTGTTAATGACCTACATTCAAATAGAGTGTGTAAACCGGATAAAAATAAAAATTATAATAAAGTTTTTTGTATTTCCCAATCAATGAAAGGAAAACAAAATGATATTGTTATTTTCACTGACGTTTCGTTATTTAAAGTATTATTATTAAACCAGAATTTACAAAATCCACTCAGTTTATATATAACAACTTGATCATCGCCCCTCAGTATGGGGGCACTTTTCTGCTGTCGAATCAGCCAGTTGATAAAGATAACAAATCCAGGTATAGATTATTGTATTTGATAAGTGTGTAAAATTAAATAAGCAGCGTGTGTTTACATAATGATATTGCTTATCACATTCGTGTTGATTTTGTCACTTCATGGGGGAGGGGAGGGAGGTGCTGTAACCAGGTCAGATTCTGTTTTAGTCCATCATTCCTATTCACACAATTCGGATTCATTCCACTTGATATGAAGTGCTTCTTTGTGATTTCTGAAATGCTTTTTCTGGTAAAAGTGAACTTGGTTTGGACAGATATAAAAATAAAGATTAACTACACAGTAATAGTAAGTACCTCACTGACTTGAAGACTGCGCCTAGATTCGACTTTCTTTTTTTTCAATTGTGAATAAAAGATGTGGTGACATTTCTGCGTTTACAGTAGCCTTCATTATCAGAAATATATAATAATAATTTGCTTTATTCTAAAACAGTACTTGTGATACAGAATAGAATTCTCAGCATTTTCACTACAGTATTG